TTGAAGAGAACACAGGCAGTAATTTCTCTGAGATCAGTAATAGCATTATTTTTCTAGATAGGTCTCCTGAGGCAGGGAAAATAAAAGCAAAAATAATCTATTGGGACATCAAAATAAAAAGCATCTGCACAGCAAAGGAAACAATCAACAAAACTGAAAGGCAATCTACAGAATAGAGGAAGATATTTGCCAATGACAGACCAATAACCCCAATAAAGGGTTAGTATCCAAAATATAAAAAAAACTCATACATACAACACCCAAAAAACAATCCAATTAAAAAACAGGCAGAAGACATGAACAGACATTTGTCCAAAGACGATAGAAAGATGGTCAATAAATACATGAAAAGATGTTCAAAATCACTTATCATCAGGGAAATGCATATCAAAACTACAATGAGATATCATCTCACACCTCTGAGACTGTCTAAAATCAAAAACACAAGAAACAACCAGTGTTGGTGAAGATGTGGAGAAAGGGGAACCCTCTTGCACTGTTGGTGGGAATGTAAACTGATGTAGCTAGTGTGGAGAACAGTATGGAGGTTCCTCAAAAAATTAAAAATAGAACTACTCTATGATCCAGTAATCACACTACTGGGTATTTACCCCAAAAATATGAAAACCCTAATTCAAAGGATACATGCACCCCCATGTTTATAGCAGCATTATCTACAACAGCCAAACTATGGAGGCAGCCCAAGTGTCCATCAATTGATGAATGGATAAAGAGGTGGTGTGTGTGTGTGCATGTGCATATATTCCTAAACATAGGAATTCATACACACACACACACACACACACACAGGAATATTATTCAGCCATAAAAAGGAATGAAATCTCGCCAGTTGCAACAACATGGATAGAGCTAAAAAGTATTATGCTAGGAGAAGAACTATTTCAGTCAGAGAAAGACAAATACCATATGATCTCACTCACATGTGGAATTTAAGAAACAAAAGAGCAAAGGAAAAAAAAGAGACAAACCAAGAAAGACTCTTAACTATAGAGAACTAACTGATGGCTACCAGAGGGGAGGTGGGTGGGGGATAGGTGAAAAAGATGATGGGGATTAAAGAGTACACTTACCATGATAAAAAAATAAATGTTATTTCTGACTTCACAAAGCATTTCTAAAATATAAATTGTAAAAGCTCTTTTAACAAAGCAGGTCCTACTTCACTGTATCACAAAAGAATACATTAACAGCTTGACCATTTACCAAAATAACTTGTACATGTAACACACAATATGTAGGCTCTTCCTCTGCCAAGAAACAATAACCTTTTCACCTGCTGGAAGCCACGTCCAGTCCGCGTTCTCATCCTCACACCTCCTAGCGCTACACCCTGCAGCACACATCATGTTCACACAGCACTTGTGCAATGAATAAATGATAGACAAATACACAAAGGAACTATCAAGAACTGTTAAAAGCCCAGCAATTTAAAAACGATTTCTCTGAAACTAGGGACACCCAAGCTAAATGCCCTATTCCAACCTACATAAGCTTATCACAAATATTCCACGTATATAATTCACATTTTTCTCTTATGTCTATGAACTAGAACCTCAGTCAATGGCCTTGCAATGGATTTTTTTCCACTAACCAAAAAGCACACGCTATGTTTATTCACAGCAGGCACAGCTACAAACTACACATAACACTCTTTCCAGCATCTCTCCTCCCTCCGATGTATCTCTATCTGAAGCATCTCCAGGGGCGCCTGGGTGGCTCAGTCAGTTAGGCGTCTGCCTTCAGCTCAGGTCATGATCTCAGGGTCCCTGGGATCAAGTCCCGCATCAGGCTCCATGCTCAGTGCAGAGCCTGTTTCTCCCTCTGCCTGCCACTCCCCCTGCTTGTGCTCTCTCAAATGGATAAATAAAATCTTAAAAAAAAAAAAAAAAAAAAAAGACACAGTGGACAAAGAGCTAATCGTCAGAGTAAGCATCTGAGATTTCACTATGGAATAATTACATTCCTGGATTCACATAGTTAAAAGCAATTTCAAGTATATACCCACATAATCTCTCTTTTGTCCCCAAATAGTAAAAATATCTATTATTGGTAACTGAGAGCTAATTTTGAATTTCTTACATACTGTTTCCAAAAATCTGTGTATATTTCACATAATCTATATTTTATACTTATTTCACATCAATTATAAAGTTAAAAGAAAATATTTTAGGTCTACATTTGATCAATAAAACATTTTTAATTATTTAGCAATAATAATTTTTATAAACTCCCACCATTCCACAGTAATGGAAGAGACTACTGGCACAGATAACCCAGAAATCATTCATCTCATATATTTAACCTAAGTATAGAATCTGTACTGATCTCCTTTAAATGTCTTACAGAAGCTACTATTGTTCATTCTTCCTGGGCTACAGCACCTGACCAGTGAGAAAAGTGATTCCACAGTCTGCTGCATGCAAGCCAGACTAGAATTAAACACAGACTATAGGGCGCCTGGGTGGCTCAGTCGTTAAGCGTCTGCCTTCGGCTCAGGTCATGATCCCAGGGTCCTGGGATTGAGCCCTGCATCGGGCTCCCTGCTCCGTGGGAAGCCTGCTTCTCCCTCTCCCACTCCCCCTGCTTGTGTTTCCTCTCTCGCTGTGTCTCTCTCTGTCAAATAAATAAATAAAATCTTTTAAAAAAATAAATTAAAAAAAATAAAATAAAATAAACACAGACTATAAATTTCTAAAGTGGGGACAATCAACAGTACATAATGCTAATACAAATATATACAGGCAATGCAACTATGTAAAAGTCATATACCACACTAATAAGAAAAATAAATTTCATGTTCAAGTGATTGCTCCCTTGATCCTCCCTTTTCACTATTCCCAAATAAGCAGCTAAAACTGGTTATACATAACAAAACTTAGTATTCTTGTATAAATACATCAGGACTATTGTTTTACCTTTATTATTTAGAAAGGTACTGTAATAAGACCAAATACAAATTGCTAATGGACTAAAATTTAAATAAAACATGTCAGATATTTAACACCACCCAGGAAAAGTCAAGCTCATTTTTTTGTAATGTTTTAGGAAATTATCTCAGAGGCTATTGTCCGAATACCCAAACTGCACCATCAGGATGTATTAAGGCAAACCCACACTAACTTACACTAAAAATTGCTAATGAATACAGAAAAATAATTCTTTTTTTTTTTAGAGAAATAATTCTAAAAGTTCTAAAAGCACATTTTGATACTTTTATCTAAAGAACAAAATTATTAAGGGTGATTTCGCTGTGTAAAGAATAAGTAATCAAAAACACACAGTAAGACATCAGGATCATTTAGTTGCTGAAGGACAGACTACTAGGCAAGAAGTTTCCAATCCTCCCAAATTCTCACAGGCCATCGTGAGGCTAGGACTTTGCCAATCAAAGACAGAGGCAACTAGAAGCTACAAAACAGTGGGCAAGAGCGACAGAGACTTCACTGCCTGGATGACTTCACTGCCTAGGACACAATCCCTCCATTCTCATTTGTAAAGTACAGATACCAATATTTCCTCATCTCCCAAAAAGTAAGTAAGGTAACATACAGAAAGCACTGGGCCAGTGCCTGTCACCAAGCATTCAAATTACGGCCCCACTGAATATACAGACTGATACAGATGTGTACACATGCCCGTTACTATATACATGCATTTCCCAGCTCAGTTCACTGAGAGCACCTAGGAGCATGGACACCTCATGGTAGCGAGGAGCACACCTAGTGTCCACAGCTCTCGTTTTGCTCTAAACACCATTCTTCTTATGAAAGGAATCAGAACTCCCTGGAGAAGTGGTTGCTTCCAAGGCTGGGAAAGGGAAAATATGAGACTAGAACATCTTGTGGTGTCAGAAAATAAGGACGTGCTCAAAAAGAATGGGGGCATGTTGAGAAGACACGGGAGCCAGCCTGAACGAGGCCCTATGGCCAAAGCCGGAACAGTATGAGCAGCAGAATTAATAATGATAGTGTTGGACCATAACCCACAGAATAGAAAAATCAGTAGGTAAGTCCATACTGATACATATAAATAAAACAGGGGAGAAAGGATAGTCTTTCCTTACAGAAGAATCCCATGTGTAATTCTGTGGATAAGTGTGGAAGAAAAGAAAACAGATAATCACCACTCAACAAATATCACACTAGTGACTGTTGAAAACAAGTTCCATGGACAAATGCTAAAATTATCAAGATATTAAAATTAGTAGAGAAAAGGTTGAGGAGAAATAGGATATTTACTAATTACAATGAGAAAAAATAGTAACTTTACTATAGAGAAATCTGGCAGACACAGTCCACTGGTAATAAGACATACTGATTCATGACAAATTCCCTGATATGATGCATTGAGAACTCAATGTCCCCTTCTTGCCAAGACTGCATACATAACCTTACTCTAATCATGAGAAAACATCCGACAAACCCAAGCTGGGGGGCATTCTACAAAATAACTAGTAACTCAGTGTTTTTCCTCAGCAGTCCACAGACATAAAAAACGAGAAAAAAACTGAGGAACTGTCACAGACTGAAGGAGACTAAGGAGACATTACAAATAAATATAAAGTGAGATCCTAGATTGGATCCTGGAACAGAATAAGAATGTAAATGGGAAAACTGGCATAATTCAAATAAGATACACAGTTTAGGTAAAAGTACTGCTCTAATGTTAACTGCCCAGTTTATTAATTACAGTGTAATTATGTAAGATGCTATTAGGGGAAGCTGGGTAATGGACATAAGCAAACTGTAATTTTACTACTTTTCTGTAATTATAAATTCATTTCAAAACAGTTTTTTGAAGTATTTTTAAAATATGATATCTGTAATTATCCAATGTATAAAATAGCTATCATTTTGTTTTGCCTTAAAATCATTAAATTATGTTAAAATATGCTCTAACTGTTGAAACTAAAATATGTATCTCTAAAAAACTTAGCTCTGAAACATTTAATGAAGAAAATACATTACAGATCTCATTACCTGTAATTTCATATCCATAAGCAGCTAGTTGTCCAGCCATATATTCTCCATCCGAATTATTATGAGAACAACCCCATGTTCGCATCCAAATTTTCTGTATGCCTGGAATAGTGCTATTAAACAATCAATTAAAAAAAAAGTAAGTCTCATCAAGGGATTTTTAGAACAAGAAAACACAAGATGATTTCTGAGCATATTATTCAAAAACACACAGCAACCCTTCACAATCTATTCATGAAATGCACCAACTTAATCCACAATCAATTGTTACTAAGTCTATAATCAAGATAAAATAACCACAGAATTCTAAGACTCTCTACATAAAAAGATCTCCTTTTTCTCTGAATTATATTTTAAATTAAGACTCTCTACATAACAAGATCTCCTTTCGCTCAGAATTGTATGTTAAATTCAGTACTACTAATGTACTATCACAAAGTTAAACTCATAGAAAGGTAAATACAAGTAACAGCAAAGAAAATGGTTCTAGCAACAGAAGCAAAGAAAAACTAAGTACATCTACCTGCTCACTGACTCCTATATAACAGTTACAATCTTTATTTTATAACTTAGATATAAATAGCTGAATCAAAACAGAAAAACTATCACCCTGTAGCATAATTAAAAATATTCCAGGGTGCCTGAGTGGCTCAGTCATTAAGCATCTGCCTTCGGCTCAGGTCACGATCCCAGGGTCCTGGGATCAAGCCCCACCTTGGGCTCCCTGCTCTGCGGGAAGCCTGCTTCTTCCTCTCTCACTCCCCCTGCTTGTGTTCCCTCTCTCACAGTGTCTCTCTGTCAAATAAATAAATAAAATCTAAAAAAAAAAAAAATATTCCATACATAAAAATAGAGTTATAAAAATGTAATATTTTTAGGAAGGATAAAAAAGGACTTTCAATTTGGACTGGCCTATTAATTTAAAAATTAAATAGAAATTACCTTAAAGACATATTCAAAACAAATTTGATAAAGTTGAGTCATTAAAATATTAAGTTTAAATTCACAGATTTTAAAAGTTTACTGTTCCAAACAAAATAACCAAGTGTATTAAAACTTTTCAACAATTTACTATCTAAACAAATGTAGGCATATTAAAGCTATTCAACTGCATAATTCTTTCTGGCTAGGTTGTTTTAGAATTCCACTCAATTACAGACCTAACAGATTAAAGAGCATGAACTTACTTGTGCCCAGTGCCTTTAGCTGATCCGTTAAGTATCTGTAAATTTGTTAAGAAAAATGAAATACCCAAACCACCAAACCACCACTATCTCATAAGAATTAAAAATTCCAGTAAAAGTTTTAATTTGGAAGTAACACAAGATTCCATACCAACTACAGTAATATCAGAGATCCTGGGGCAGTGGAGGTTGGGGGGGGTGGTGAGGGGTGGAGGGGAGTGATCCTACATTTGTGCCAAATAGTGCCCTTGGCCCTGTCTTCAAGAAACATGCCATCTGACATTTTTTTCTTTTTTAAGAAATTATTTTGCTAAATTTAAAACTATTCAAATAAAAAAATAAATCTACATATCTGCTCTCAAAAGTTCAAAAGACTTTCAGAAAGAGACATTATGTATATCACATGCGGTAGTACCAGTTTCTTCCCAGGTGGGGTACTGACTATAATTCCAAATAAGAGCTTACCTGTCACTTGGTGGACTGTTTTCCTCTTGCAAATATTTTTGGGTGTTTCTCTTTCGTGCCTTTGGAACAACGTGCTTTCGCGCAGAATGCCTATCTTGTGGCTTTAAATCTCCCTGTGACACAATATCTTCTATGTCGTCCAGGAGTGTGTCGCAGGATGCAGAAGGCATCTTCTCTACTATATAAGAAAGTTATAAATGACGGCAACACGTGAGTCCCTCAGAAATCTGTTTAACAGAGTATCACCTATGAAATATTCTTGCTGATCTTGAGTCTAATAAAGCCGTTAGATTTAACCTCAGGTTTATAGAAAACACAAAAGATAAAGAAATGCAAGGAAACAATCAGACAGATCCTACTAATAATGGGACATCCCAAAGTTCAACTGGATGTATCCCCTCAACAGACCAGTATCACAGAGAAAAAAATGAGAGGGACTGTTCATGGTTAAAGGAGACTCAAAAGCGTAACAACTAAAGGTAATTCATGTTCTTGATCATATCACACTTTGTCCAACCAGCTGTAAGATATTTTGGGGACAACTAGGAACATCAGAATATGAAGTGGGTGTTAGATAATATTAGGATACTACTGCAAATCATTAGATGTAAAGTACTGTCCTTATGTTTAAAAATCTTATTTCTGACATTGTATACATGATTTTACTTTTTATTTATTATTTTTAGAAAATCTTTTTAGAGATGCATATTAAATATTTAGAGGTTAAATATCATTATGCCTATAATTTACTTTAAAACAATAAAAATAGATAAGACATATAGGAAAATATTTACAAGTCTTAAATGTAAGAAATAGGTGTATTGGTGTTCTTTATCCTATTCTACTTTCCTGAATGTTCAAAATGTTTGTAATTAAGAAAATGTGCATACAACTTCCAGGAAGATAGAATAGACATACTTTTCCCTACCCCTCCCACTAAATACAACTAAAACTAGGGACATTATATATAAAATAAACATCAGAAGACTTTAAAAGGTAGAGAGAAAGAGGTAAACTGGCTAGGGACCTGGGCACCCAAGGAACAACATAATGGTGAGTTGCTTGGGGTTTCTTTTGCCTCCTATATCCCAGACTTAAAGCTGAAGAAGCCAGCAACCCAAAGATGCAGACAATAAAAGCCCCCCCACAAAAGCCTGTTCTCTTTGCGAAGAACCAGAAAAGGGGCAGCCTAGCAGAGACCGAAAATTTTCAGACAATAACCATTCTACTCCATAAAACAAAACAAAACAAACCCCACAAAACACAAAACTATAGAGTTCCACCTTCTGACTTCTACTTTTGAGGCTGTAATGAGGGACCCCAAAACACTCCACAGGATAGAACCAGAGAAGGCCAGGTAGGGACCCTGGACTTCCAAACCAGCCAACCAACCAGTAATGAACCTCCAGGCCCTCCCCCACCTAGTCAGTTAAGACCAAACTGATATACAAGTTTAAAATCAAATTCCTATCAAAATCCCAGCAAGATATTTCATAGACATAGATAAGACTGTTCCAAAATTTATATGGAAAGGGAAAAAAAAATCAATATATCTGAAACAATTGTGAAAAAGAAATAGTGAGAGGAAGTGGGCTGCCCAATTTTCAGACTTATTATACAGAGACAGTAATCAAGACTATGTGGTATTGGTGGAAGAATAGAAATATGAATCAACAGAACAGAACAGAGACCTGGAAACAGACCCACAGAAATACGCCCATGTGATTTTTTACAAAAGTACAAAAGCAATTCAATGAAAGAAAGATAACGTTTTCTTTCTTTTTTTTTTTTTAAAGATTTTATTTATTTATTTGACAGAGAGAGATAGCGAGAGCAGGAACACAAGCAGGGGGAGTGGAAGAGGGAGAAGCAGGCTTCCCGCCGAGCAGGGAGCCCGATGTGGGACTCGATCCCAGGACCCTGGGATCATGACCCGAGCCGAAGGCAGACGCTTAACGACTGAGCCACCCAGGCGCCCGATAACGTTTTCTATTAGTGCTGGAGCAATGGGACATTTATAGACAAAAAATGAACCTCAATCTAAGTTTCATACCTTATACAAAAATTAACTCAAAATGTATCATGAACTTAAATGTAAAACGTAATACTATAAACTTTTAGGAAAAATCATAAGAGAAAATCTTCTAGACCTAGAGCTAGGTGAAGAATTCTTAAACCTGACGCCAAAAGCACAATCCATAAAAAGAAAAATTAATAAATCCAGACATCACCAAAATTTTAAACTTTTGCTCTGCAAAAGACCCTCTGAAAACATAAAAAGTCAAGCTACTGAGTCGGAGAAAATTTTTGCAAACCACATATCTGACAAAGGACTGGTATCTAGAATTCAAAACACAATAGTAAAGGGGTGCCTGGCTGGCTCAGTCGGTGGAGCGTGCAACTCTTGATGTCGAGGTTGTGAGTTTGAACCCCACATTGGGTGTAGAGATTACTTAAAATTAAAATCTTAAAACACACACACACACACCAGTAAAAAAAAAAAAAAATCCAATTAGAAAATGGACAAAAGACACAAAGTCATTTCACCTAAGAGGATATACAGAAGGCAAATAAACACATTTAAAGACAGTCAACATTACTCACCATCAGAGAAATACAAACTCAAACCACAATAAGGTATCACTACACACCTATCAGAATGGCTAAAGGAAAAAAACAGTGAGAACATTAAATGCCAACAAGGAAGAAGAGAAACTGGATCACTCACACACTCCTAGTGGGACCATAAAATGGCACAGCCACTCTAGAAAACAGTTGGGCATTTTCTTAAAAAACTAACCATGTAACTACCATGTAACCTGGCAATTACACCTGAGGGTTTATCCAAGAGAAATAAAGGCTTACATATTTCCACAAAAGCCTCAACACAAATGTTTATAACACCTTTCTTTGTAACAGTCAAAACCTACAAACACCTAGATGCCCTTCAGTGGGTGGAAGACTACCTCGGAACACTACTCAGCAATAAAACATGTACGATTGATACACACAACACTGGATGAATCTCCAGGGAATTATGCAGTGTGAATAGAGCCAAGACCAAAAGGTTACATACTCTATGGTTACATTTATATAACTTACTTGAGACCAAAGTAACAAAATTACAGAAATGGGGAATACAACAGAGGTTACCAGGGATTAAGCAGAGGACCGGCAGGAGAGAAGTGAATGTGACTATCAAAAGGCAACATGAGAGATCCTTGGAGTGATGGAAATGTTCTACATCCTGACTCTTATCAATGTCAGTATCCTGGCTGCGATACTATATTACAGTTTTGCAAGATGTTACCGCTGGAGAAAACTGGATAAACCTTAGAGCATCTCCATGTAATTTTTATTACTGAAAGTGATTCTATAATTATGTGAAAATAATTAAGAAAAAAATTATCTGGAAAGAAAAAGAAATATATACTTGAGTACACTGACTAAGAGTACTACTACTACGTTTAGACATGAAGCAAGTGGTCATTCATTAACCATTCACAAGTTTGGTGGTGTTACTATCCTCACTTGAAAGAGCCATCTGAAACACAGAGAAGCTAACTTACCCAAAGAACAACCACCATGCCAAATGAGCCCAAGCCCATTTGCTACGCAGCACTCGACTACCTACTTAATGTAGATACACCGAATGACTACTGATCCTCATCTAGGTTGCTCAAACCAGTGTTAAGAATCCTAATACTCTGGGGCGCCTGGGTGGCTCAGTCGTTAAGCAGCTGCCTTCGGCTCAGGTCATGATCCCAGAGTCCTGGGATCAAGCCCCGCATCGGGCTCCCTGCTCGGCGGGAAACCTGCTTCTCCCTCTCCCACTCCCCCTGCTTATGTTCCCTCTCTCGCTGTGTCTCTCTCTGTCAAATAAATAAATAAAATCTTAAAAAAAAAAAAAAAAAAGAACCCTAATACTCTCTGTTGGTCTCAAGCCTCTCTGACGAATTTTCCCTCTCTTTACTCACCAGATCCCCATCTTTCCATTAACAATTTTCAATTAACAGAGCAGCTTCCAGCCAGGATCCTTTTGTGCCCTTTACTGTAATGCACTCTTTACAACCATGACAAATTATGCCCAGTAAATCAGACAAACCTGTGTTCAAAGCTCAGCTAGTTTTACATCGGTAGTAACAGCAAAAGACTAGAAATAATCTAGTCTCATAAGGACTGGTTAAAATGTAGTTAACACAGTCGTGGTGGGGCTGCCAATCACAGGCCTTCTCCTTCCCTGGACACAGGAATGGGGCACATGAGCCAAGCTTTTAAAGTAACCCATCCTCCTGGCCACAATAATTAGTTCAGGGATGGACATGACAAGCCCAGCCAATGAAAATCATCAAGAGGATTTCTATGCCAGAGCTAACAGGAGAGATGGCTTCCCTTTCACTGAAGTGGCTAAGTTGGGAGGATGTCAAACTGAGGTGCTGGGGGCCATGTTGCCCGTCATAGGGCAGAAACTACCTAGGGAATGAAGCCTAATACGAGCTGGAAAGATAAAGAGCCATACTGACATTATTTGAGCACCTGGATCAAAGCCCTGCTCTGCCCAGTCATGTGAGCCAGTAAGTTCCCTTTGTAGCTTAAATTAGTTTAAACTGGGTTTTCTGCTCTTGCACACAAGAGCCCTGGCCAGCTCAGCAAATTAGAGAAGGAGAAATGAAATAGGTTAGTCTTTATGAAATTGGTCCTATTTATTTGAAATTTGAAGGATCAGTGAAAAAAAAAGTGGTTCTGTGGTCAAATAAATTCAGGAAATTCTGCCTCCTTAAAGAACCCCAGTATTCATTAGTAGAGCAAAGACTGTGGAAAAACTGCAGTAAAGAACCTAAAACTCATTTATCTTAGGAATTTTCTGAAAATTGATTTCTCACAGATCTCCTCTTAATGAGGCTAAAGATGGTACCAAAAACAGAAGGCCTGAATGAAGCAGACCCTCAGATCCCTTCCCACATTCTGCACAGATGGATGACTTCCTTCTTTTACAGGGAAATGGTTCTCTGCTCATGTACTCTGCCTACCAATCTGTTCCTGTGAATGAACAATACGCCCCCCCGCCCCTACCAAGAACAATCCTTCTACTCTGACTTACTCAAGCACAGCCTCCCAGCAATGACTCCTTTTCCTGCATTATCACTGTCTCCCTACCGAATCATTACTATCTAGATA